CCCCAAAACCCCAAAACCCCAAAACCCCAAAACCCCGAGTGCTGTAGATTAAGTTAATTACATTATTTAAAATTTGATAAATTTATAAAGAAAGCATAAAATTTAAATGGATTCAAATTTGATAGCCAATATAGAAGATTAGATCGAGATTCTTAGTCTGAGAATCGAGAAACTTAAAAAGTCTTTTCATCAGCTGGATATCGTTGTAATGATCAACTTTAATGTATTAATGCTTGTCGGAATAGAAAGCGACACAAGATAGAAAGCAGGTGCTTGAGTATATAATGAGAGATATTGAGAGAGCTAACTCCGATATAAAGAATATGCAGTATGAGATCAAGAGAGTGCCTAAAATGAAGGAAGTAGAGTTGAATGGTAAGGAATTATTGCATAAGTATCAGAGTTAATAAATGCCGATTAGGGAAGCTGAACAATTTGAGGACAATTGTGAATGAGTTAGAGGAAAACCTGAATGAAAAGAAGCGGAAGTTCAAGTATGAAATCAGACTAGACAATGAATTGGTTTAACTTAAGAAGATTTAAGAATTAGACCCAGCTAATGTAGACTTAGAAGCTATGGAAGAAATTGGAATATAGTTACCAAAAGAGGATAGCATAGCAGTAGAGAAATTCAAGGAGTCATTAAAAACTTCCTTAACTAAGCACATCAAGATACCTTAAATCTCAGGGGCTCATGATGGTCCTATTATTCCCTCGGGCAAGAATGAGAATGAAATTGACTTGGAAAGGAAGCAAAATTAGCCAATGGCGATTGACCTCACTCTTCAAACATTGGATAATCCTTGCAGGAGACTTTTTGACAATATTTGGGTGTTTTGGCAGAGATACATCAAGGACAGATTCACTTGTCCACTGATGCTAATATTTGTGGCTTCAGTAGTCTTTGTCATAATTTGCGCTTTGATGTCCTACAAAGAGCAGGAGGCAGCTACTACTGTTAAGAAACTGTTGTGAGAGGGGAATTTCGGGCAATGTCAAGTAGTGTACATATGAATATCTATAATTACTATGTTTGAAGTTAATTCAGTTAATAAGAAGTGAGGTTATGTTGAAGTTTTATATAATAGCAAAATAGTAAATTAACCATCAAATGTCAGAGCTCCGCAGCACTCATAAACCGCATCACAGAAACAAAAGCAGTTAATGCCAATTAATCAAGAATATCATTAGGGGCCGTCAGAAACATTCTACCTCCTCAGCCTCAAAAAGGAGCCCATACCACAACCAGATCGTTTAATTCGTTTTACTCCGTATACTACAATTGACCAACTTCTGGAATGCCTCCTTGGCAAGCACATGCGAGTTCTTGTCGGGATGAACCAGTCTCGCGACCTTTCTGAACGAACTCATTCTTCTCTCCTGACTAATCTGCTAACTATAATTAAAGTTATTAATGATGATCGTTACAAGAATCTTTGAATTCTGTAGTCAGGCTGAGACATGATGAACACAACAACTTCATTCATGAATTCCTGTGAGATTTATCTTTCCTCTCCTTCCTCCCCAGTTAGGATAGCAAAGAATCTCTCAGCTTCTTTTTGTTCTTCTTCGTTTTGATAGTTGAAATGATGATGCCCTCCGTGGCCATGATGCTGATGATGGTCATCATGATCGTGAAACAGGTAATCGTCTTCCTCACCATAGCCGTATGCGTCTTCTGCGTAAGAACCTGCTGCTGCATTGCCTCCAAGAGTCTTGTTGAAGAGCTCGTTTTGCAACTGAATCTTCTTGAGATACTCCTCTTCGTCCATCATCTTGAAGTATTCCTTTCTCTGGGCTCTCGCCTTCTTCTTGCAAATCTTGCACCACTTCTTGACCCTAAGGAAATACTTAGAACATGAAGAATAATTACTATTTGGTCTTGAAGTCAACTTTCCAGTCATGGAGGTTGGAGCAAGTAAGCTTGAACTGGCACTTCTTCTCAATGAACTCGAACTTCCCATTGTTAAGGTCAACGAACGCCTCCACAGCTTCATAAATCTTGTAGCAATTGTGGCAGAACCCGTCTTGCTTCAACTTATGAAAAAGTAGGTAGCATCCCTTGCAGCCTTGCTTGTCGTCTTTGGCCTTCGAACTGGCCTTGACGTCTCTCTTCTTAAGGAACTCTTCAGAACTTGGCACTCCCAGAGGATCCAGCAGGTTCTGCAGCAGATGCAAAGGCTGGTGAAGAGGTTCATCCTGCTCACTCAGTAAAGAGGGCAAAGTGGAATCCTGTTCTTGGTAGGATGATTGTCTCTCGATGGAAATCTGTTCGCTTGGGGAGGAACTGTTGGTTGATAGGGAGGAGGAAATTTGCTTGTTTTCTTGATATTGGTTGTTAACGCTGTTTGGTAGTGACTGGTCGCAGCTGATGAATTCGGATTTAATATTTTGCTAGTTAGAAATTTAGGTGGAAATACTTTGCAGACATCTTTGATTTTTATTGATGGTGTCTGCAGCATCATTTATGTTAATTAAGCCCCCCACAGGGGGAACTGGCGGACGCGGCCCTGCTGGCACGAATCTCTTGTCTGAGGAGTAGCACTTGGCAAAGGCGCTGTTGCTTTCATGCAAGTCAGAAACTCTTCCGAATAAAAGCCCTTCATAGTTCTATCTAGGTCTGTTGCCCTCTTCCTCCTTATAGTCATAGCTGGGTCTTCTTGATTCATCGCTGTTAGTAGCAGTTGAGAGGTGTGATCTTGAAAATTGCTGCAATAAGTGTGACTTGATATCGAAGCTGGCGCTGCTGGGGTTTCTCTTTCCGAGCAGGATTGAATTTGATTTGAATTGTTAGTTAAAAAATGCTGACATTGTTTGCGTGAGTTTATTTAAAAGTTGATTTATATTAAAATTATAAGAGGGTTGATTGCTTATGTTTCTAATTTAGTTAGAGACGAATAATTTTTGTGCTTTCCTGGAGTCATATGAAAAGCAGACATGGGGTTTTGGGGTTTTGGGGTTTTGGGG